GAGCCCATTGAAGGCATCTCCAGCCTTACATTCAATTAGAATTAAATTAAAACAATGGAAAAAAGAAATCACCTGCTCCTCATCAGGCCAGCTGCCTGGAGGGGGTGGGGTAGCTAGGAATCTGGAAGGCAATGACCCCTCCCCACTGGGATCTACACACTGTTTTTAAACGGTGCTGTCTTCTCTAGACCTCGCTGTCATGGAAGCATCCTTTCCGGGGAAAATGGGGAAAGTGGGCAAAGGTTAAAGGCAGTCAAGGTGGTGAGGAAGCGGGTGTGTGTGTGTGCACATGCACACATGCGTGCAAGAGATAGAAAGCATCTTTTTATTGACTACTTTTAGCGAGTGTGCATAGGGCAAGCAGATCTTGCAAATCCACGTTTCCGGTTTGATCGTTAGAAGGAAGGGAACTGAAACTTGTTCCTTGACAACTATGTGCCAGGCCCTGTTTGTCCTTATTGCAACCTCATGCTGACACCGGGAGTGGGCTCTGTGCTAGTTCAGTCACTTTAAAGGGGAATGAACTGAGGTCTCAGTCTGCTAAGCTATTTGCTGAAGCTCACATGGCCAGTAAATGGAAGCAGAGATCCAAATTTCAGTTTGCTTGGCTCCAAAGCCCAAAGCCTATGCTCTTTCTACTCAAAATCTCCCAGTATCCCTCACCAGGAGGCTGATAAAGGAGAAGTGCCGAGTGAGACGTTGGCCAGAGAAGTGGGAGCTGAGCTCAAAACAAGATGTCTCTTGTCCATTATCACTAGTTTATCCCTGGGCCCTAGCAGGTCGGTGTGATTCAGGACCAAAGCTCAACACCGGGGTTCCCAGGATGCCAAATATACAGTATCTGCAATCTTCAGCCATTTGTTTTGGTATCACTTAATATCACACATACATATGGCTTAAAACCTGTTCTAAATATTTAGCACATTCTGTGTCTTTTTATCTTTAGTGCTTTAATTGCCACAGTATCTTCAAAATTAGTGGGCCGACTCCAGCACTTAGAAGAGAAGCCTGTTTAATGCGTGCCAGTGCTCCGTCTTCTAGAGGTTCTTTACTTTATTCAAATTACTAATCATTTAGAGCATCACTAAAAGCCTTTTTCCCTTGCTCCCCATGCATGCTTAACCTAATTAACTATAAATGAGGAAAATGCTATCCACATTAAAAGGAAATGTTAACCTATAAATTATCCCACTATTTCTGGTGAGGCTAAGGACTCCTTTAGAAAGCTCAACTGTGGGGCAGAATTTCAGTTTATGTGCATTCCCTGCCCTCCCTCACTAGAATGGGCTGCAGAATCTCCCATTTCTGGTGGATTCCTTTGTCTGTATTTATATTTTCTTAAATTGACTCCCTTTGTGTTTGCTTACATACTCTCAGGAAACTAGAATAATCTATAAAATGCTCCCCAGGAGCCCACTGGGGTGAAAATCTATCAAGTGACAATCTAGATTTGTCCCTCAGTGCAGAAAATTCCTATTCTCATACACTTTTCCCAGACAGATCCCGTCGTAGGAAGCCAACAGTGTCTTGAGAGCCTCAGATCACAGACCCCAAAGTATTCTCCCTCTGGCTGACCACACCTGACCCGGCCCTGTGATGGCTTCCTTCCGAGCCACTCCATTAGGGGGGTTGACACAAATAGGGCAATTCTTTTGAAAATTCTTGTCAGAAAGAATACCCATTAACACATTCATCTGAAAGACCAGATTAATTTGTCAAATTATCCTAGATTTGACCTTTGAGAGCTGAGGGCAGGCCTGCGTCAGAACAGAGTGTGGAACACGAAATTGGTTATGGAGCAAGACGAGAGGCTGAGAATGTGGATCATCCTCAGAAAACGCTGTCCAGGGAAGGCCTGGAGCAAATCATGGGCCAAGGGTGGAGGCCAAGTGACGGGGACAGAGAGGCGAAGACAAGGGCAGCAGTGCCCACAACAGGAATTCCTACTCTTCAACTTTGTTCGTAGTGGTCCCTACTTTTAATATATGTAATGTATTAAGACAGACAATTCTGAGGTTGTAGTAACAAGGGAAATGCAACTGGCACAGACAACTCCTGATTCTCTTTTTCATGACCCCCCTATTTGGGCTAACCTTTGTTCTGGTTGCCAAGTTCATGACAAACCCCAGTTCATTCCTGCAGCTATGGGGGACACTCTAATCTTGGAAGGTATTGGAAGGCTTCTGCCCTGCAGTCTTGTTGTGGGTGTATGCCTCCAATTCCTACCCTGGGCTCCGTGAGATGGGGAGTAGTGGAGGCTGTGATCAGGTCACTGGGGAATACCCGAGTCCAAGCAGGCTTGACATCCACATGTGCAGTCAATTCTTGATTATCCACACCAATGGTCTGTGACCCAGGCCCAGGTAATCCCAAATAATTGACAATCCAAAAGGAATTTCTCTTTGGTTTTGGAATATGCTTTGCTTTTTCTAGCTGCAGATCCCTGCTCCCACTTACGCTTTCCTTGTCGGATATTAAGAATCATTTATGTTCCTTTAGTTGGGCACTTGGTCTGAGCAATGGCTTGAAGTCAGCTTCATATTGAAAATTTGCCTACTCCATAGACAAATGATTCCCTTGCAGGCAGTTGAATTTGACAGTATCATATATTGCATAGAGAATCATCTGTCCAGGCTAGTGTTGTTAATTCATTCATTCATTCACCCGTTTGACACACATGCATTGAGCTCCTACTGTGTTCTAGGACTGCACGATAAATTAGAGCTATGGAGATGAAAGATGGAGCCCTAGCTCTCAGGGGATGTACCTTCTAGTGGGGCTTAAGGGAATAGATTTTAGTATTTTCCTCCGGACCTGCACAGACCCACTGCATATTCACTTCTTCCCATTTTCGGCTCCTCATCTAACTCCTTTTGTGTCAGGAGTTTCAATATTTTGGGGAAAGTGCTGTAGATGATTGCTGGGTTGCGCAGTGTTTCCCAGAGATGGGAAGAACCCAGGCCACTTTCATTTTTGAGGGTCCAGATATATTAAAAATAGAAGAGAGGCCAAAACAGGGGTGCAAATGTGTGGTAGATTTTAAATGTTTACATTTAATAAATTAATATTTTGATACTCCAAAATTCTAGTGATCATATAACTGCATTTGGATAAAATGTCAAAAGTCTAAATTCCAAGCCCTTTATGAATGTGAGATGTGGCTCCTCTCTTTCCCATTCCCCACTCATGCTCAACCCCTGCCAAGAAAAGCCCTGACTGTGGGGAAGTAGGTCTAAAGGGGACTGAATGGGGAGTCATTTTAATGCTCAAAGGAACCTCTACAGACATGAAGCACAGTTGGTCCATGGCTCTGTGCCTTGTGGTCACAGGGAATAGTTCTCAGCGAGGCAGACACATCTTAAGCTCTTTACTCAAGAGGCATCAAATCAATTTGTTTCTACAAAGTTCTCCCTTTCCCATAGCATTAAAAGGACCCTAGCAGAGTGCCTGGCTAACAGCTACCACTCTGTTAAGCTCATCCCTTCTGAGTATCACCATCTTCTTCACTGCCACCTCCACACACACCAGTATTTATCCTTAGCCCTCTTATTGAAAAGCCCATGGAAGATAAGGAACTTCTGACAATGTGAAAATTGGAGTTAAGGCTCAGAGGTTGCTACTCATCTTATATTTTTGTTTCTGAACATAAAACCATAAAGAGAGCATGCTAAATAAATTTCTGGTGACATGTCACCCACTCAGTTATGATGGGTGCCGTATAATTATTTTTATCTCAATACCCATTGCTTATTAGCAACTTAGCAGGAATTCTCTCCCAGAGAAGATCAGCGTAATGTTTACAAACTTTTGTTTTCAGATAATAGGGATAGAAGGAGGCATTTTCTCTCTGTCTCTTTCCTCCTCCTAAATGTTCAGTGTTTGTTCGTGTTTGAACTCAGAAGTATTAACTCCCACAACCAATACCCTGGGTCCCCTGTGGTCTAGAAACGCAGGCTAGTTAAGGTGTGTGAGTTGGGAAAGGACTTGGGCTGCTTTCATGGCTAATTTTGTGTATTTGAAATATCTGTCTAGGAGCCAGAATTATAGCTTCAGCTCTGCCTGTGGCCCTATTAATACACAGCTTAGCCCTTTGCTTCCTGGAAGAATGAGGCATCTTGTTCTTTTTTCAACTTCCTTCAGAGTGTCTCATGCTTCATTGCAAAAGATCTACTCCTCCTTTGCCTTATACTTTAGTCTTTATTTCTGCTCCCAACGCCTAATTTCTTTATTTTTCTAGTTATTTCAGACAGGAGTGATTCACAAGTTAGGCAGACTAGAATCGAAATGCTTGTGGTTGCTAAGAGGGCATTCAGAAGTCAATCCTTTAATACACACATTTCCCACAGGAGAACTTGTGGTTTAGAGGCATTCTCTTGTTTTGTGTGTGTGTGTGTGTGTGTGTGTGTGTGTGTGTGTGTGTGTGTCTGTGTGTGGTTAAAGGTTTGTAGGTCGAATAGTCAGAACTGGAGGTTGGAAACCACAGAAAGAACAAGAGGAACGGACTTGTGGTTGTGAAGAAGCAGGTGAGGGGAGAAGGCCTCATTAGTCCCTCTAGTGGGGAGAGATGAAGTTAGCGCAAACTTTTGTGAAGTCAGACTCATTTTACACAGAATGTGATGATGTGCTGTCCATTGAGAGAAAAACTCATGGTTTAAATGAAAGCTAATGTTTTGCAAGCATTTATTGTGGCAGGCACTGCATAAGTGCTTTACATAAATGCATCTCACTCAATCTTTCTCAACATTTCTATGAATTGAACCTGTAAAAATCCCTATTTTACAAAGCCATGAAGTACAGAAGTTAAGCATTGACCCTGGGTCTGTATGACTCTAGAGTCTGCGGGCTTGACAATCACCATGACACAAAACACATGCTTAAGAGCTATTCTCAGAGCACAGGTCATCCCTGTCTTTGTATTGACTGGGAGAGGGAAACCAAGACTAGTGCTGTAGTCTGTTCCAGGTCCATACTGCTGGGTAACACACTGCTATAAAACTTACCACTTTATAGTATCTCACGATTGTGTGGCTCAGAAATTTAGGCAAGACTCAGCTGGCAATTCCACTTCTGGTAGCTTTGACATAGGTCACTCACTGGTATTCAGCAGGTGGATGGGCTGGTCTAGAGGCTCCAAGACAGCTTCAGCTGCATGTCTGCTGCCTGGCAGGCACAGGTGAAATGTTGGGTTCATTTGAGACTGTGATCAATGTATGGTGGTCTCAGGCTGGTTGAATGTCTTATATGGCTGCTCAGGATCCTAGAGAGAGTATTCCAAGATTCAGAAATGAGAAGCTTGAGTCCTGGGCCCAGAGCTGGCGCAGCCTCACTTCTGTAGTACTCTCAAGCTTACTGAAAGGAGAGTTACTCCCCGCTGTCCCTACTCCCACGCTTTCCACATGTGCCCCACCCTGAGGCTCCTGCCCCCACCAGCCCTCTGACACTGCCCTCCTTGAGGGTCACCAAGGATCTCTTCGTCACTAAACTCAAATATCATTTTGTTCCTGTCCATATTTTACACAACAGCTGACTTTGCCAATCATTTCTTTCTTGCAACTCTGCTTTCTTGGCCGTTCACACTACCTTCTTCTCCTCTGCTTTGTCTCCCCCCAGGGAGATCTGGCAATGTCCAGAGACATTTTCAGTCATCACAACTGGGGTGCTACTGACATCTAGTGGGTAAAGGTCAGTGTTATTGTTAAATATCCAATAAGGTACAGGATGGCCCCCACAACAAAAAAATTATCCGGTCCTAAATGCCAGTAGTGCTGAGGTTGAGAAATCCTGCTCTGGTTTTAAAAAGAGGGTGCTGGAGACAGGATGAATCTTGGCACAAAGGAAACTCACTAATGGTAGAGTTTCTGGCCTCCTTGGGGAGTTATCTCTGAAAAGGGATTCCTTTCTGGTAAACATCAAGGTGTAATGGAAGGGGAAGGGGTTTGTGGTCAATAGATCTAGGTTTAAATCCTAACTTTCCTAAAGTGGAAGTCATAATTTCTATTTTGTGGAGTTGTCTTGATGAACAAATCAGATAACCTATATAAAGTATACAGTAAGTTCATAAGTGGTAGTCCTCCCCCTTAAGTCACATGATATAGCAGATGTCATGATATAGCAAGAGGTGGCTGGCACAGAATAAGAGCTGAATAAATATTTGCAGGATGACATATGAATAAACTCATTGCCTTACTCCTTTAAGAGGTTGGTTGCCATGAGGGCTCTCTAGCTAGAAATGATTTATTTTTTTTCTGTCCTTTTTGGACCTAAGGTTTAAAGATAAGTTTCACAACTCTGCCTCATAGTCTGGCCCCATCAGTATAATAGCCAGTGAGGTTTTATGAGGCTAGGCCATTGGCTTGGCATGCAATCCTCCAATTAGAGGGCATGTGACTGCCCATAATATAAAACAGGAAATATGGATAGCTTTATTCTCTTGTGGACACAGCAAAAGTGGCAGAGAAGAATAATAAATTCAGAGACCTATGTGGTATCTCTTGCCCTCAATATTGACACTAATTATGAAAAGAAAAGTTTGTATATTTGGGCATGGGGAGTGGTCTCTTCCCCTTTACCTGTTTGGTGCCTATGAACAAGGCATCAACCTAACTTTCTGCTGAGATTCAAAGACAGAATTACCATGGAGACCACCTCCTTGGGATTTTATACAGTACAAAATCATTGACATTAACATCTCCCTATATCTCCTTGTCTTGTTCTGATTCACCTTCCATATTGTAATCAAGGTACGCTTTTGGAAATACACACTTTATCATGATACAATCCCCTACTTCCTATTAAATAAATTTCAAAATGTGTCATACAAGCCCCCATGTGATCAGGCCTTTCCATCCTTTGCTTCAGACTTCAACTCACCTCCCTACATCAAAGCCCCTTCATAGAGCTATGTCTCTCTCCTTCATGGTCCTTGGCAAAGCTATACAATGGTTCATTTGTTAGTGTCCTTCTTTGATTAGCATCAGTCTCTCTCTCATAAACTCTTTGCTCCATGACAGCTGGGATTGTGTATCTTTTAGCTTTCATAGTATCCCCAGAGCCTGGCATATCCCCCGAGCCTGGTTCAGTCAAGGCTTCCTAAATAAATGAATATTTAAACAGAATAGATGTTATCATTAGTAAACATTACTTTCCTACTTCAGCCAAGGACCTAACCAAAACCCACTTTTTGTTTCTTCTAACTTTTATTTTAGGTTTGGGGACTACATGGTGCAGGCTTGTTACGTAAGTAAACTGCATGCCACTGGGGTTTGGTCTACAAATGATTTCATCACCCAGCTAGTGAACATAGTACCTTATAGGTTGTTTTTCCATCCTCTCCCTCCTCCCACTCTTCACCCTTAAGTAAACCCCTGCGTCTATTGTAGTTCCCCTCTTTGGGTCCGTGTATATTTAATGTTAAAATCTACTTTTCTCTAAATATGTGACTACCACTTCTACACCAAGGAAGGTGTGAGATATAAACAGTACAAGTTTATTGATGATGATGATAATGATGATGATGGTAATAGCTATGTAATACTAATATACAATTAAATAATAAAATAATTATGTAAAACAGTTAAATCTTCATTAATATTTGTTGAGTGCTTGCCCTGTGCAAGATACTATACTAGGCAATGGGGATAAGCTCTTGAGCAAAATCAGACATGGTATTTTTCATGCATTATCTTATTTAATAGGTCTATTAATTAGGCACAATTATTTTCCCATTTTGTAGATGAGAAATTGTGACATTGGAAGCTTAACTAAATTGCTCATGATCATACAGCCCATAAATTGGTGTGATATAGCAGTTATTTGAACCCAGGAGTGACTCCAAAGTTATTAACCATTACATTGTATAATTTTAGAGGAAAAGAGATTAAGTTAGGCCTAAAAGGTAACATCTGTCGGCAAGTGCAGCAGATACTAATAGATGCACCAGCATCCTCAACGGACTGGGCATTATGACACAGCAGACACTGTTTAAGGTGTGGAATATATGTTTTCTCTAATCTTCACAGCGATTCTAGTGGTAGGTATTATTATCCTCATTTTACAGGTGAGTCACCAAAGGCTCAGGTAGGAGAAAGAGGCAGGGAACAGGGCAAAGTCAGGTGAGATGCTTGAAAACTTTCCAGCTCTTGAAGTCTTTACAGTATAACTTTTGAATTATATTTTAAAGACAGGAAAACTTTCTGAATTCAGACTCAATAAACCCAGAATTTGTAATATTGAGACACTGAATCATAGACTTTTACAACTGAAAAAGACCTGAGAGATTATCTAGTCTAAGCTCTTCATGGGGCTTCTGATTGAGTATAAAATTGGATAAATCTTAGGTAGCTCAAAACTTTTATTTTACTCATATGTTATGATTTATAGGCCAATCACAACTTGCTATTTTGAACAACCTACTCAATTTGAGTGAATTAGTAGCCATTTCAATCAATTTATAACTATGTTTGTATGTAGGAAAAGTATTTTTCGTCATAAATATTTTACACTTGTAATATTTACTAATTCAGATAGGAGTTTACAAACAAGGTTCCTCTTAGTGGAAAAATGAGATATGAATGATATTTTATTATCCAAAGAACTCTCAGGACCTGAGGCACACATATTCCAGAGTAGAAAAGCACATTCCCCAAGTGAAATAAAAGTCTTCTCTTTCTCTCTCCCTTCCCCTCCTCACTATTTCTATTTCTTTTATTTCCGTGCCACTGCTGCATTCTATTGTCTCGGACAAGTGAGGCTACATTACATTTTAAAACTTTTGTCCTTTGGTCATCCATAGGACCTAGAATGCTTCCCACTCCCAGGTCATTAAAAAAAAATAACTTGGGTAGAAAAGATTTTGTTATTGGTGAAACTGAAGGCTCACCTGAATTTACTTTAATGGAAAACCCTAACTCCCTAGGGGCAAATGTCTGCAAAGATATCACTGGGAGCTCAGAGGAAAATATTATGTTCTAACCTTTTAAAAATTAATCCAACTATTAAGAGGAATCCCAACTGTATTTCATTCAAGCCATAATCTGAAAGGTATGATGATTAAAGCAAGACAAATGTAGTGTCATAAGCAAATGTCATGCCATAGATTTACCTACCAACAAGACATTGGCATGGTTCAGGTCAGAGGTTAATTAAAGACATCGAAAGGTCATTCTGTGATTAGGTGAAAGCAGGGTTTTAATAGGGCATCAGTCCGACCCACACTGACAGAAGATTTATGCCAGCCGTGATGACATCGCCACGAATCCTGCTGATAACAAGAGCCTCAATATTGGCCTGAACAGAATGATGAATGGAGCACATATCTCCTCACACTTCTCATTACAAGCTCTTTCACTCCTGGTGGCACTTAGCAGCATTTATTTACTGAGGTTTGAAGGTGTGGGACAGCAGAACAGGATATCTAATACTTTTAAATGTAGACTTGTGATATAAAAATGAAACAAGAGATAAGATTAGGTCTTTGAATAATTGCACAGCTTTTCTTCCAAGATTATATTCACTAGTACTAACATTATACCCCCTCCATGTTCTGCCAGTGTGTGAGCAGTTCAAGAAAATTAATTGTCTGAGGCAGAAGGTCAGAGGGAAAAAATTACTGATAAGCATTAACCATGCTATAAAATAGCACCTCACCACATTTTGCCTTCCACAGCCCTCAGTATGTGAACAAAAGATAATATAAAGAAAAGGATATACACATTTCCCCCGATGCCATATTTAAAGTTGTTAAGTGCTGTTTTTATTTGGATTAGATCAGGTAAAGAATCTAGAAGGCCAAATAAATGAAAAAATAAATAAAAATCAAACAAACAACTTACAATATTCTTAGCTGAAAGCAAATATAAGAGAAACTAAAACCCTGATGAATAACGTTTACTTTTCCATGAAACTCCTTTTCAACATGTTATATATTTATCAAACCACCAGAGTGTAAATTCCATGAATAAGTCCTATCATCTCTCAACCAGTAGACACCATGAAAATTGTAACTACAGAAAATTGTTAGTACTATAAAAGGCTACTTTCTAGAGATCTACATATATCTATTTCTGCAATTTCACAAGAGAAAATAAAATCATAATCTTTTTGCTTGGGCCACGAACAGGGGCCAGGCCAGGATAGGATCACATCACATCTAACCCCAAGCCAATGCTCCCATTAGTTCAGAAACGAAGATGAGTCACTCTGACGGAAGTGATGGAGCTGGTGACCTGCTGCAGGACAGCTGTGAGAGTCTTGTCTTTC